CCTCAAACCATGGCATTTTCAATTGTTTCCTATGCATATTAAAGTTGAACAAAGAATAAAACTGAAGAACTGTGTTTGCAAAGAATACTGAATACTCCATAGACTACAAAAAGCACACACAAATCTTTATGTATTAGAAAAAAGTACAGACTGCTCCTTAAAGGTAAGGATCACGATCAACACACACGTTGGGCAGTCATCAGAAGAGGGAGCAGGTTCCTTCCTGGAGAAAAGCATCACGCTTGCAAGAGTAGAGGGTTAACAAAGGAGAGGAAGGCTCTCGAGGAGATGGACATAGTGACTGCAGCAATGGGTCTAAGCACAGAAGAGATTATGAGCATGGCAGAGAATGGGGCAAGCTTTCATGCTGCCGTTCTGGGGGTTATTACGAGTTGAAGCCAACCTGATGGCACTTAATCTAGTAACAACTCAAGAAATACTCTTTCAACATATATTTATCCACTATACTAGCCACTCCTGGTTAGAAAGATAGGTTTTATCCTCCCATAAAAATTTACAGCTTTGGAAGCCCAGCAGAAGGTTACTGAGTTTGAATCAACCTTATTGCTTTGAGTTTTGGTTTGGTTTATGGCGCTTACATTCCAGCTTCAAACAACATCAACTTAATAAATAAATCATACAATTCCTTAAATAGGAGGTGAAGCAACTGCAACAAAGTTCAACAGAGCAGCAAACAACAAATGCTGGAGAGGTTGTGGAGAGATTGAAACCCTTATTGACTGTTGGTGGGAGTGTAAAATGGCTAAACCACTCTGGAAGGCAGTTTGGTGCTTTCTCAAAGAGTTGGAAATGGAAATACCATTTGACCCAGCAATTGCACTGCTAGGAGTATACACTAAAGAAACCAGAACCATGCACACCTACATTTTATTATGGCTCTGCTCACAACAGCAAAGAGTTGGAAACAACCCAAGTGCCCATCAACAAATGAATGGATAGAGAAGCTGTGGTTTATTCATACAATGAAATATTATGCAGCACCAAAAAACAATGAACTCATGAAATAGTATACAAAATGGGTGAACATGGAGGACATTATGCTGAGTAAAATATATCAGTCACAGACAAATACTACATAATGCCACTGTTATAAAACAGGACTGACATGGGGGTTGGGGAAAACTAAGAAAAGATGGGATAAATAATGTACACTGCATTGAAATAGACAAGTGAGAGAACTGTATGAAAGGAATATTATTGGCATGACAAGAGTCCAGAATAAGAGCTACATAGTAAAGTGGACTGGGGGGACTGTATAACAATGAAATAATTTTTTTTCCAAAGAAAAAAGCAACCTGGGGGGAGGGGAGGCAGAGAGAAAAATGTGCAATAATGAATGACTGGAAATCCAAGTTTTCTATAAACTTTCATTAAATTCTCAATTAAAAAAAAATATTCTAAAAAGCTTGGAAGCAGGAGTGGCATCCACTTCCAAAACAGCTTGCCTCCAGAAACCCTAGGAACCTGGAGAAAGGAAGAAAGTTACACAAGTGTCCAGGTCTTTCGTTCATAGGGTCTCTATGAGTTGCCTACAACTCAACGGCACTTAACAACAACAAAAAAGAAACCAGAACCGCCATCCAAAGAGATGAATGCACACCATGTTTATGCGCAATTATAAAGAGATGGAAACAACCCAACTGCCCATCAACAATAGAAGGGATAGAAAAACTATGGTACGTTACACATTGGAACACTATGCAGCACTGAAAAATAATGAACTAGTAAAACATTACACAACATGGGTGACCCTGGAGGACATTATCCTGAGTGAAATGTCTCAGTCTCAAAAGGACAAATACTGCATAACACCACTGTTATGAAGCAGGACTGGCATGGGGGGTTTGGAGGAGACTAGAAAAGAGTGGCTAGATAATGAACACTGTACCGGAACAGATGAAGGGAGAGAAATTTAAAAGAAATATATATTTAGGGAGCTCTGGTGGCCTAGTGGCAAGAAGCTGCACTGCAATCCCAAAGGTATGTGGTTCGAATCCACGAGATGCTGTGCTGGAGAAGGAGGGACAGTCTCCTCCTATACCAGTCAGATCTGATTTGACAGTACGGACACCAAAAAAATAATAAATTAAAAT